TCAAATGTCGATGTAAGAAAGCAGTGTGTAGATGTGAAATTTTGTTTCTTGCTCAGGAAAAATGCCACAGAAGCTGTTGTGATGTTGAACACAGCTTACAAGGCTATGGGAAAACTCAAGTGTACAGGTGGTTTTCTCATTTCAAAAAAGGTGAAATGTTGATTGATGACAGACCTCATTCTGGACATCCGTCAACTTCCCACACAGATGAAAATGTCAACAAAATCTGTGCACTTGTGCTCGAATATGGATGACGGACCATTGAAGAGATAGGGAAGTGATCTGGACTAGCTTGGAGCTCACTACAGTGGATTTTAACGGAAGATTTGGGAATGATAAGGGTTGCTATGAAATTTGCGCCTCGGATTCTGACTGACCAGGAAAAAGAGCATTGACTGAAAACACGCTGTGCTTTGAAAGAAGAGCCCCGAAGCGACGGGGAATTATTTCCAAGGTCATTTCTGGAGGAGATGCCAGTGGAAGATGCCATCACCACCTTACCCAAAGTAGCTTGTTAAGTGAAATCAAAGATCAAGGTGATGCTCATTTGTTTTTTTGATGTGAGGGGGATAGTGCATTTGGAGTTTGTTCTGTCAGGTCAGACTGTTAGTCAAGCTTTCTAGTTAGAGCTCTGAAAAGATTGTTGCCTACCAGTGTGCAACAAAAAAGGCCAGGTTTATGGCAGACAGGAGACTTAGTTTTCCACCACGACAATCCACTTGCTCACGCAGCTATCTCAGTGAGCCAGTTTTTGGCAAAAAACCAGCATGCCTCTCTTGCCCCATGCACCATACTCACCTGACCTCACTTCTTGTGACTTTTTGTTTCTGCAAATGAAGAGGGACAGGAAAAGCCAGCGATTATGACAACACAGAAGAGGTAAAGAGAAATGTCTGCCATCCAAACAGATGAGCTTGAAGAAATGTTTCCGATAATGGAATCACAGATTTCACAAATATATTAAATGTAATGGAGAGTACTTTGTAGGTGATAAGGTTGCTTTATAGAATAATTTAATACATAGCTTTAAAAACATTCCATTTTGGGGGGGTATGCCCTTATAGATCAGTAGATAGATAGATATTAGCTATATCATATACCATTTGAAGTATCCATTCACTTACAATTCTGTTATTCATTCCCCTCCAGTGGAGTTATACAGTCATCATTGCTATCAGCTCTGCCCCCCCTTCCTGTACCCTCCAGGGATTCATTACTCCCATTACTGTTTCTGAAGGGTTGTCTATCTTGGCTTTCATACATCAAGGGATCTTAATTATGCAAATGAGCATATGCAGGTCTAACAAGATTAATGAGGTAAAGCAAAGACCATAATAGTAAGGGAAGGAAATATTAAAGAACTAGAGTATACTTATGTGTTTCATCAGTGCTATACTGTACCCTGGATATATCATCCCTTCCTGTGGCCCTTCTGTGAGGGACTGTCCAGTTATCTTGCAGGTGGGCTTTGAGTCTCAACTCTGTCCCTGCTCCTTCATGTCAATTTGATTGCTTGGTTTTGAACTTCTGATACCTATTTCCTTTGACACCTTATGATCACACAGGCTGGTGTGATTCTTCCATGTGGGCTTTGTTGCTTCCCTGCTTGAGGGCTGCCTGTTTAAGGCCCCAGATGCTGTATATTTTAATAGCCAGGCACCATCAGCTTTCTTCACCCCATTTGCTTATGCACCCGTTTTGTCTTCAGTGTTGTGTCAGGAAGGTGAGTATCATACAGTGCCACATTATCAGAACAAACTGTTCTTGTACTGAGGTAAGATCTAAGTAGAGGCTCAAAGTCCATCTGCTGCGATGCTTTTTAAGTAGTAGAATTTAGTGGACTTGGAGTAGTTGTGCTTTGTGATTTAAGAAAGATTCTGCTTTCACCATTTATTTTGGGGAAAAGGGAAAAACAAAAAAATACCTCACTGCCATCCATTTGCTGCTGCCTCCTAGTGGCCCTATAGGAGAGGACATACTTGGGGAGAGAAAGTAATTTATTTGAGCTCTCCAGCTTCTGTTTCCTTGTCTATGGAATGAAGGCAATAATATATTAATTAGCTCAAATTGTATGACGATTAATTAAAATAATATCTATGGAGAGCTTGACCCAGAATCGAGTGCGGTGGAAGTAAGTGGCTGAGTGCATGCACAGCGACGGGGTGAGTGAGGAGTGAGAGAGGACCTGCACTGGAGTGAGTGCGTGCACAGTGACGGGTGAGTGAGGCGTGAGAGAGGACCTGCTCTGGAGGATTGCCAAAGGCTGTGGCCTTTCAGAAGCAGATCATCAGCCCTGTCTTCTGTGACGCTTCTGGGTGCCTGGAACTGATAACCTTTTAGCTAGTCACTGAGCATTTAACCGTTTCAGCCATCCAGTGGAATACCATTGCTGTGCTATGTTAGGGCCCATCAAGTTGGTTCTGACTCAGAGCGACCATAGGCACAAGGGACATTGCCCAGTCCTGTGCTAATCCTCACCGTTGTTAAGTTTGAGAGCATTGGTGCGGCCACTGTGTCGAGCCATCTCGTCAAGGGTCTTCCTCTTTTTCATTGCCCTTCTCCTCCATGACGCTCTTTCCCAGGGACCTGCCTCTCCTAATAACATGTTCGAAGCACATGAGACTCAGTCTCACCACCCTGGCCGCTTCGGCGCATTCTGACTGTACTTCTTCCAAGCAGACCCGTTTGTTCTTTTGGCAGTTCATGTAGCTCTCAGGTTTCTTTGCCAGCACCATAGTTCAATGCATTGATTCTTCTTTAATCTTCTATATTGGAATATCACAGTTGACCAGGAAATGTTTATTTGTTTCTGTCTACATCCTCCACCCTTACCAAGAACAATAACTTGATATTTGGCTTACTTTGCAAGAAGGATTTAAATGAACAAACTTAACATCGTTGAGATAAGTTTACAGAATCTCTAAAGAATCCACTGATAAAAACATAAAAATGTCATGCCTTTACTAGTCTTGATCCAGGCGAGAGGCTTTACATCCTGAGTAGCAAGTGGCTTTGGGCCCCAGGTAGGCGTATGTCTACTCCTGAAAGGACACGCATGGTCAAGGTTGATTCTTAATGTCTAGTGCTCAGGAATGTTTCATGGCCACAGATTACCCAGGAACTCCCCCTCACTCTTGAATTGATGCTTCAGCATCGAGTCTGTTCCCCATTGAATGTTTCTTGAACACAAATATAAATCATCTGTCGGTCACTGGGCTCCTGGCCCTGGAGCTGGGGTTTGTAGAGCTCTTGTGGGGGCACACTGCTGCAGAGTTGGTTGATGGCTACCGACCTGCTTATGATAAGAGCTCTGAGGTTGGGTGTCTATCCGTAAGGGCGTCCAGACGGTGTTGTTCTGCGTTGACAATGAAAAGAAGGTTGTAGAGCTCCTTGGGTGGTCACAGAACGTTCTCCAGGACACAGGCTAAGCCAAACACAGCGTCTTGGTGATCTGTGCTCCGTCTGCATCTGCCAAGGGTGGACAGTGACCAAGCCTGGTGGGTCTGCTCCTGGAGAGGGGGCTGGGCATCAGGGAGAAGGGGCAGCAAACACTGCCCCAGATACCTTTAGAGCAGTGGTTCTCAACTTGGGGGTTGTGACCCCTATGGGGGTCGAACGACCCTTTCACAGGGGTCACCCAATTCATA